CAGAAACCCCAAATAAAATACAATAAAATACAATAAAATAAAATAACAGGCAGCTATAAATATATATATATATAAAATAAATGACGTATGTATCGACATAATCGAAGTCGGTTCCAGTATCGCAGGATACTCCATTCCAATTGTTTCATTTTTTTTCTTTTTCACTTTTTATTTAATAAAACAAAAAAAAATGTTTTTCTTAAATAACACACGTGAAATTACAAATTAAAATGTTGCGGGTCCCCGAAAATAAAATAATTTAAAAAAAACAAAAACAACGATTTTTCTTCCTCTGCAGGTTTCTAATTTAGGACACACTGATGGGCGGGGGGGGGCATCCCCCAATTTAACGCACGCACACACGCACGTGGACGCGCGTCCACATGCCTTCACTGCTCCACGGTCATCAGCAACGTGGGGTTTTATATGAAATAAAAATTAAAAATACCGGAAAAAAACGTCTAATGTCATCGTCGAAATAATCACAGAAAATATTGTTTAAATGTTAGAGCTAAAAAATTCTCTCTGTTAACATTTGCTTCTAAGATGTAAAAACGTGACCTCGTTTTTTATTTTATATATTTATTATAAATATTTGTTTTAAATCATACAACTTGTCCCTTTAGTGGATCATTACAACAAAGAAAACATTAAAGCTGTTTCCTTCCCTTGAAACGAATAAAAAAAAATACCGAAACACTTTAATAGTTTTCTCTCCTTTTCTAGAATACGGTCTATAAAATACTATTATAGTAATATAAAATACACGACGTGTAGATTGTAGTAATATTTGTCTGACAAAATACAACATTATTTAACGCCATTAAATATTAAAATAATAAAAGAGTAAAAATGGACTCACTGATGTGCAGAGCGAGGCAGAGAGCGAGGCTCCTGGAGGAGCAGCTTCCTCCCATCTCCTCCTCCTCCTCCTCCTCCTCCCCTGTCCCCCTGCTGCAGGAGGAGAAGAGACACACAGGACACTCGGACACCGCACACGCACGCACTCACGCAGGCGAGCACGCACACGAAGTTGGAGAGGTGCCGCACATTTCCCGCAAAAAAAAAAAGAAAAAAACGCAAAAAAAAAAAAAGAAAAAATATATTATTTAAATATGCGCAAAAAAATGCGGCTCCATCCAGGCCGCAGCGGTCCTGCACCTCCTCCTCCTGCGGCTCCTACTTTCTCCTCCTGGGTCTTCGTGGTGTGCGGTGCTGCTGCTGCTGCTCGTCGGTCTCCTCTGTTCTCTGCACCTCCTTCTACTTCACCTCCTCTTTTGCTTCTGTCGCTTCTCGCTGCGCCTCCCGCCTGGTTTTACACCAGAGGGAGAGAAAGAGAGAGAGGGAGAGAGGGAGAGAGGGAGGGGAAGGGGGTGTCTGTGTGTGTGAGAGAGAGAGACAGAGAGAAAGACAGAGAGAGAGAGAGTTGTTTTATGAAATAAAATTTAGTTTTTTTCATATCTGGTCATTTAAGTTTTGGAGATTAATTTAATTTGTATTTAATTTTATTTTTTTGACCCTCCCTCTCTCCCTCCCACCCTCTCTCTTTTTCTCTCACTCATTTGGTAATTGGTTTTGATTTTTTATAACCCCGCCCCTTATACACACACACACACACAGATACACACACACAGGCTCGGGCAGCCATTCCTCTCTGTCTGTTGCTCTGACTCTGTCTTTAACTTCAGCCTGACATTAATTATCAGTCAGTGACGTCGACACACACTGTCTCTGAACACAGCGGCTTTAACAAAACAATTAATACGATTTCACTTCACAATAGGAAACAGAATTATTTTTACAAAGATAAAAAAAACAACAACAAAAAAAACAAGGTCAAATTGACTCTGCGCCCCCTGACGATGACAGTCAGTTATTTATTTTATTTTTTTCATTTTTACTGAATTAAATCTTGCAGTGATTTGATTTAATATTCAACAAGTTTGAGTCCAGTCTCAGATCATTCTTGGTCTTTATATTATATTATATTATATTATATTATATTATATTATATTATATTATATTATATTATATTATATTATATTATATTATATTATATTATATTATATTATATTATCAGCAGGAGATGACGTTTGACTCAGGTGTGTTTGAAGAACACGTGACAACGAACACACAACCAATGAACCAATGGGATGTTTTTTTCTTTTTTGTCAGCAGTTCTAATTAAAACATATTAGATGGTCGGTGAAATGATGTCTTTCTGCAGTGACGCAGCTGCACGTGGTCCATTTTATCATTGGTTATTTGTCACTTTTACAGCTATTTTTTTCCTTCTAATTGTGACGTGTTTTTAATTGTTCTGATTGTGTGTGTGTGTGTGTGTTTCTGGTGTATTTCTGTGCCGGACACACAATACGACTGTTGTAGTAAAAACGAACGTGTGGGGCAGTAAATGTGAGCTGCAGACGGAGTGTTGTGTGTGTGATATGATGTGTGTGTGTGTGTGTGTGTGTGTAGAGGGAGTTACTGTTGCTGACGTCAGCGGAATCCGAAACACACACATTCTCTGCTGCAGCTGCGAGTGAACACACAGATGTTTGAGTGCAGTGCTGCAGCGGACACACACACACATGAACACACACGCATACACACACACACGTGGACCTTTGGTTTGAGTGTGTGTGTGTTTTGTGTGTGTCAGAGAGAGAGCCAGAGAGAGAGAGAGAGAGAGAGAGACCTTGTCATTGACCTTCACTCTCTCACCTCCTGCCCCATTTATGAGTCCTCAAAAAAGAGACAGCTTTAGAGTAAGTGATATCATCTAGTGGTCAACAGAGGAACTGCAACAATGTCCTGCAACCTGATCGACGGACACACCCCTCACTGGACTCCCCACAAAAATTATACTTTAACATCAAACCTCTTCTTAGACCGAACTCACCATGGTGAGAAAAAATAAAATAAGTTAAAATACGATCAGATAAAGTCTGATCTGTTTATGCTCGTGTGTGCGTGTGAGCAACATCCGTTGTTTTGCAGTCAGCAGCGCCATCTGGTGCGAGAAACCTGTAAACGGCGGGGTCGTGCCAAACGTATGAATTACGATCTGATCTGTTTATGCTCGTGTGTGCGTGTGAGCAACATCCGTTGTTTTGCAGTCAGCAGCGCCATCTGGTGCGAGAAACCTGTAAACGGCGGGGTCGTGCCAAACGTATGAATTAAAATAGTTTTCCACAAAAAAACAAAACAGAACCCATGTTCAACTAGTAACTAACAATTAGTCATTGAGTACAAATATGACTAATTTTGTTATTTAATAATCTTTCGTCATGATTGACCTCAGTGAAACATCATGACGTTTCCAAAAATCAAAATGACTGATTCTCCTTCACGTCATTGGTTTTGTGGAGTTAACAGGAGATTACAGTCTTCAGTTTCCTGAAGTGAACAGTGAAAACTGTGACATCATCTAATTAATCAGAAACACATTTTATCAACTTGATCTGTTTTTTTTTTATTTTCCTCCACTGAGATCCTCACAGACATCGTTAACGTCAAAACCAGAATTATCTCTTAACACTCTGAGCTCTATGTTTTAATTAAATTCAAAATGTTTTTTTTATTTAAAAATGAAATAGAAAACGTCAGTAAGTTGACAAAAATCTCCCAGAGCAGGATGAACTCCTCTGCTCTGACTTCTTCTTCCTGTTTCAGAGACAGATTGACCTTTGACTTCCCCCTTTTTTTTCTCTTTGGTCATTTTGCCTCTGGTCTTTTCCTGTCCTCGACCTGCAGATGTTTGTTTTTGTCTTTTCAAATCTTGACCTCTCATTTAGCCTCTCTTGTGTATTGTTTTTCTTTTTCCCTGTTGTTTTTACCTCAAAACTAATTGTGAACAAT